GTTGGGAATTCGATTACGATTATTTTTTCTCTTTTCGCATAAACTTATTGCAAGAGAAACGGAGTGCATTGATATTTTTTCTATTCGTTGTAAGAGCCGATATCGGTCGTTTGTCGGTGCAGATGCATCCGCACGAGGCGATAAATCGTGAACGCGCAAAACGCGTTCCCGCAAAGTCGAACCCGGTCTGTCTCTGCTTTCGCCGAGACGATAAGACCTCGGACGGCTTAATATCGAGTCGCCTTACCAAACAACCGGTTGCTGATAGTGCAACAATATTCGAGCGTGGTGTTAGATAGCCGGAGCGGTTTACGGACAGTTCGCCGTAATGGTCCATGCACGGATTCTGCGGGCGTAGAGTGTCTAAATTATCTGCCGATAAGACGAGCAACTGGGCAATAAATATAGCGACGTTGTTGTTTTCTATTGCCGACTTATTTATTCGATTATTTTAGACCGTCCGCCTTATCGCGAAAAATTACCGGGTAAATGTCAAAGCTATCTAACGATGCATAATCTAAAGAGCGCTGCAATATTTATCTTATACAAAAATATACTGATTTTTTTCTTTTGGAAAAGAAATGCCTGACGTGGATATAAATTACGATATCTCGTAACTTAACGCACGCCGAAATTCTCCAATGTTTTACCTAGCAAATAATTCGTAACAGCTCACGGATCCTTCGAGATAACACGGAGGAGTGAATTACACATGGTCAGACTTAGTTGCGAAACTCAACGGCCGACAATATCGCGAATCGATGAAGCGTGGCCGATCTTATAATCGCCGGTAATTATGACTATAATTACGATCGATCGCGCGAACATCGATATTTACCGGTCGGCTACTTTCGCTCACTAACCGATAAGGCAGCCATTGTGTGACCGCAACACCTCGGGAAACCAGTATTCATCGGCGATTTGCATAAACTATCGGCTGCGCTCTCTGGAAAGTGCATTCCCGTGTCAAAATAATTACTCGCGTATTCCCCTTCCTCTCTACCGCGAAACTCTGCAATTTGTCGCTATTAGCAATACTATTATTTATCTTCGCGCTCGTGATCACGCAAATCGATCGGAGATTGTGGAAACACGAACTTCTCAGCGTAAATTACGCTCGTACTTGTCGAAAAGTGACTAGAATGAATGTAATGCATGTAACTGGAGTGCGTTAAAAATTTTTTTTAATTTTAAGATTTACATGTTTCGACAATTTTTATTACGCAGATAGCGTCAACGTGAATGAGAGAGAATGACATTCGGTAAAAAAAAAACTTGGAATGTTTATTTTCGAAAAATATATTGCCACTCCGTCTATTAAATTTTAATGTTATGTACTTGTAAATTGTAATGTTGTAAACGTATAGAGACTCATCTTTCCGTTCGTATAATGTTATATAATGGTTACAATGGTACGCAATCTGATTTATTCGTAATTAATTAATCATATCGTCTAATAACGAACTACAATTTCACAATCAGAAAATATTTGGCGTGCCACGGCTCGATAATATCGCGGTAGATGCAGCGCAGTATAGATGTTTCAAACGCAACGTACGAATTTTATAACTTTTCAAATTAATATTTCGAATTGCGTGGTATGCAGTATAACTTTCGCATCGGATATTATTATATTATACTTAAAGATATTGTTAATGAGTTGACGAATTTTTCCACCGAATACGATATGTCTCGTGTTAAATAACACGCGCGGTTTATGCAAATATTAATTACTAGAGCAAACGCCGATAATATCGCTGGGAAAAATCGACTTCATTAACAGCGAATATCCGCTAAATGGAAGCTCAGATATGCTTATCTGATCGCACATTGCATCGCGTGTTGCGATCAACGTTGCATTATCTCGACTCATTTGCCGGACAATGCAATCTCCTAAGTCTTACCTCTTATTAGTATAATTTCAGACTTTGCGTTAAGATCGCTGCGCGATTATGTCGACGATGATCGAGAATCATCATCGTTCGCGCCGATGCTAATCGGTATTAATAATCGGAAGATAGAAACGTGAGATACTCGATGGGAATCCTTGATCTTTCTCTCTCTCTTTCTTTCTTTTTGCTGAAACACATTTCTCGCTCGAAACATTGTCTAATCTCTTCTTGTTACATGACTTATGCATTAACAGTTACGTCGACGCCGACAACAAGGTCGGGATCTCGCGGCTTTAACGCTGAAGATAGATACAACAGTGCGGATTGGGTCGAAGGTCGGATTAGTAACCGGCTTTCCTTCTCTCGATTAATCGTCGATGGCACGTCAAACTGCTTATCGTCAATTACATCGACTAGTGTGTTTACATTATACAGAGATAATTTCACCCTTCCTCACGACATGGAATTTATATGGATTTGACTTTGATTAATAGCTTTGTAATATATGCGTCGAACGTATCGTAATGTCGTGAATTGAATATCCCGAGAAATCGTATCGTATAGCCTCCGAAAATTCGTGTATGTAAAGTAAGCGAATGTAATCTCGGTAAATTATTAAATACATAATTTAATTTCAATTATAAAATGGAATAATGAAATAAACAGAGGTATGCATTTTACTCTCTCAAAGTGTCCAAGAAAAGATTACGCTTCAACTAGAAACGTAAGCTTTTCTAAACGAGTCTGTTATTTACAATAGAGCCTACAGGAATAATATTAAAATCACTCGTTGACCAGCTCTAATCTGTTGAACGATGCTGAAAAATATTCAATTATCCTGTACTCGCGGCGTCCATAAAGTGACACGCATAATTCTACGAGGAGTACGTTCGTAAGAAGCCCCCGAAGGAAAATCGTCATTAACGTTTAGCGTCGAGAGAACACCGTCGTTTCCATCCCGAATCTCATACATAATTCAAGGCGCCGCGGGCGCGATCTTTATTAGTTTCACGCGAAAAAATAAACGGAAAAGCAATGATGAAAATGTCGGCCAAGGCTGACGCCGCCGCCGTCGCCACCGCCAGGTGTGGGCGGACGGTGCGCAACGTAAAACGCACATTAATGATGCCGCCAGTGCCAGCGGCTGACGATTTTGAAAAATCTCCGTCACTCGATCAGCATAATTTACGCGGTTGTGGTAAAACTCGCGTGCGCGCCTTTGTTTAGCGTCCGTTCACGAATGGTATGAACACGAGATGACATCCGAAGCTAATGGCATCGCATTCCCTATCGTTACGATGTAAATTTGTCGATCGATTACCGGGGTTCGCACGACTTGCAGTCGTTATCGCTAATCCGTGACGTGGGCGGGCCCATTATCGCGCAACAAATATGAAAATCGCATGGATCGCGATCAGCTTTAACCACAAATTACTGTCAGTGATTTTTGAAAACAACAATTGCGCCGTTCACATTTTCCGCATCAAATAGGTATGTCCCTTCATTGGATATTCCAAGGAGAACATGACATCGTAATCATGCATTTAGTTCCAATTCGCAATTTTACTCGATTATAGTCGGACGCTTTTCCCTCTCGGCTCGTTTCAAATTATTGTTGCACGAGAAACTGCGTGACAAAACGTATTTGCCACAATTACCATTAATATGTATGTATATTCCAATTTTGCAATCAGAAATGTTTACCATCTCCCATCGATCAATCGAAATCTTATTATATTAAATAGACATATTTTTTCGAGACACATGAAAATATATAAAACACAAATCTCCTACTCGAAAATATCCGACAAAAATGTATATGTATTTTCTTTATAATTAATTAAACTAATTAAAAATTATTTTATAAAATAAATGGAGTAAACACTGGTAGAAAACCAGTTATAGTTATTCTCGGAGCCAAACATATTTTACAGTAGCAACATGCATGTAAGGTTATCATCACTGACACTAGTAACACTTATTAGAAAAATAATTCTCCTATTTTTGTAGTTAAAATAAAGGTATGATTGGCGCCGGAAGTAACTATAATTTCCTATTAATGAAGGAGGAAAATTGATAAGAATATTATAAAACATAAAAAACATTAAAAAAAATTTTAAGACTACTTTCTCTACACGTTCAGTCAATTTCTATATCACCCAACGTTAGAAATCGACGATTAACGACATTTTTTACGTAGCAATAAGATGACTTTGACTCGTAAACATTGACTGTAACTCGACAACAACAATTCCTGTGTCTATAGGCGGCACTTGAAAGCGTGCGGAACTGAATAAATTGAGTCGTAAAAAAGATTTAGCCTTGTCATCTTGTGGCAATAATCGTAGAACAAATGCGTAGAAAATTATCCGGCGGCTATTTTTACGATGACTTAATAGTTAGAGGTGTTAAGAGCGATTGCAAAACCGGAAGGACAACTACTCTGACACTGCGACAGGATTAAAAAATGCCGGTTATCACGATCATCTTCGCGGATTTTCCAGTTGCCGTCACCAAAGTAAGAACATTATCAATCGCGAGTAGTCTTTGAACTTTTGTTCCACAAAACGATTCATCCCTTATTTACATCGTTATTTCTGAGCGCGGAATCTTTAAGCTAAAAAAAAGGAGAAACGTCAACAAAAAGGCAATGTTAGCGCGTGCCGAGACACCGTCGATATAATGCAAACGTAAAAGCGTTCTATCTCACGCGCGCGACGCCGATAAGTCTCCGACGAAGGTGAAAGGGGACTTGCATTAAAGCTTATAAGGAAGGGAACCGGTTCCTGTGCGTTTGCAACGCAACGTTTATAGTATCGCATCGAAAAGGCTCACTTGACTTCTCGAAAAACTTTGCCGAAAAAATACGTTGTCGAGTAATCTCACCTCGGGCGATTTACGGCTCTCGCTTGGATCCGCGCGAATAATGAATAAAACGAATACATGTACATTAATAACGCGTAATAATTTCAGTCATTTCAAACAATCTCAATAATTCAGAAATAATACTACGCAGACGCAATTGCGCGTATGAATATTTCGATAATGCAATTAACTCAATACGGAGAGAAAAACGTGTGAATTCAGAAAGTGCAGAGTACGACATACCAGTCGGTTCCTGTAATTCAGGGGAACATCGCGACCTACGTTCCTCCGGAGTTGCTTGACGGTTCTCGGTGTTGTCGTGGTGCGCATTTTCCGCTTTAATTCCTCGGGCCTCTCCTCGATCATCAATTTATCACCACATACTCGCGAAACACGATAAATCACCGATCGAATTACTCACACACCCGTTACTGCCCGTTACGTGAACGTGCGTGTTTCGGCCATGTTAAAGCAGATATGGCGATCGAAAATCTCTCAACGGACATGCGAGGTGACGTAAGTGGAATAGTGGAAGGAAGGAGGATTAGTTCGCGCGACGCGGAACACGTAATTCGGACTGTCGCGTGGCACACGTCGTTTGTTATTATATCACGTACTTGAGAAAGGACGCACAGCTGAGAGATCGGTAGTTCGCTCACTTTCGTACTACATCGGCCCGACCGCCCTTCACACCGCGGCAATACTGGCTCGCTCGCTCGCCAGCCTCATCCCTCGCGCGCGACGACGCGTTACTCACTTCACACTGAACGTCCACCGTGCACGTTCACATGCATACGCGCCGCTACACACGTCGGTACTACCACGTAACTGGCACGGCACGCGCTCTCGTTGCTTTTCGTAAGCCGTGGACCGATCGCGTTTCGTCTTCTTATTCTTTTCTCATGGACATTCGTCCCTTTCGGTTGTACAGTAACCCCGCCTCCTTCTTATCGCCTTCTCGTCGACTACTCGACGCTGCTCGTTTCCGCCGATCTATCGAGTATTCTCGGGTCTTCGTCGACCGATCGAATGCGTTTCCACGTAAAACGAACAAATTCGTCGTCTCGACGTGACCGTCGGTGCCGCACTGAAGTCAGTCCGCGATCGTCCGCTCGTGCAATATCTCAAGTACCGAATCAACACCCGGGACTTGTTGGCGCCCGTCGCCTACGTTGGCGCCGCCACGATCAGCATCGCGAATGCGGATAAATTAATGAAACGTACGATACATTTATGAATAATGATGGCACTAAGGCTGACCTATCGTATCCAATGGTTTCTTGAAACAGTAGTTCTCATTTCGAAAAAACGACGGCGCCACCTGTTGTACTCGTCGCACTTTCTGTATTCGCTGGATTTAATTTTCTCGATGTACGTGTTTCTTTCAGCAATGATATATCTTGTTATATGTTTTTACTGTAGATAAAGAAAGTACGTGTCTCAAATTGGGTAATAAGAAAGGGAAAGTAGGGGAGAAAAGTGTAAATAGGACAGATGTACTGAGTGCAATTGTGCCAATTGGTCTGTTCTTTTTAGCTGAACTGCCCGTATTAGTTCAAGAAATTTACATGCACATTGAAGCATATGAAGCGTACGTACAAAATTCTCATACTTTTTAGAATGCGTAAATTTTTTGAACTAGTACAGCCAGTTCAGCTAAAAAACAGACCAAGTGCTGCGATTGGCCGGTTTGGGGTAACGGTTAGGAGGTTTTCTCATACAAGATACGTAAAATAATCTTTCGGAATATAGTCTCTTAAAAATAAGTATTCCCAAGTAAATACCTCTATTAAAAGTTAAAGTCGCGTTCATTTCAAGTTGCGACCATAATTTCGTTTTCAATTATTAGTTAGTATTTCAAATATAGTATCCTCGCACCATTGTATCGCTTAAATGAAATGAAAAGAGTGACGTTAGCCACAGTCGAACTTCGTTCGAGAAACTCAATTTACGCGGAGTCAGTTAGAGGTAAAATGGCAGATCGTAAGGTGTCGATTTCGCGGGAGTGTTGGTTCTCGTGACATTTTCGCGAATACATCCGAAACAATCGGCGTTGCGAATAATGGTTATTGTGTCTCGAAATGCCTATTGCGAGTACCATTGGAGAATGCTGCAACGATCAAGTACAACGACGAGGATCGTCACGGCGTGGGTTTACGGCGTCGGAGAGTTACTTTTGGATTTATCATTATTATGACTGATTACGTCGGAGAGTTACTTTTGGATTTATCATTATTATGACTGATTAGGTTCGACGACATGGGCGACAACGATCCATGAAGATATGTGAGTCTTTCGAAACTCTTCTAAGAAATCACAACCTCACTTCCGACTTGATTTATAATCGCAATTAAAATTGAAACAGAGCTCTATTTATAACTTTATACGTTATGTAATTGGTATAATAGAACATTCGAACATTTGAACATTACAAATTACGTCCATAGGCATATATACATATATATACATATATATACATATATATTTACGAATTACAGATTGTTTATAAAATAAACCTAAAGTGATTTAGGCCTATACTCTGAATTCTCTTTCATCGATCGAAGTGCCGTAAATGTGGCTTCTCAGCTGATCAGATGGTTTCTAAGTCACTTTTAGAGATAATTTTATCAATAAAAAAAGAGTTCAGAATATGGACCTTAGCCCATCGAAGACATTTATCGCGTCTGAAACCTGTGATCATGTTTTTAAACATATTTTTGAGTCGGTTGTTTTCGAATATATTTCCGGATTCTCTCGTCGAAACCTATAAAAGTGGAATGTTGAGCATGAAGTTAATCGGCATCGAAGCCAGTGTCTCCTTTCGAGAAACGCAATTTAACCTCGAGAGTCAGAAGTTAGTCACAAAGCCGACTGCCAGATTCCAATTCACAATCGGATCACAATCATAATAACGAATATCAGATCTATTTAATGCTCTTATTAGATAATACGTGGTATACTAAGGAATTTTAATCATTTATTTTTCAATTCTGCGAGAACTTTAAGCTCCATATCCACCTGTGTAGAAACTATTCAACACACTTATCGACATATCTATTTTAATAAGCTTACTTATAAATAACCTCGGTACATTTGTCGACATATCTACTTTAATACGCTTATCACGAATGCCGTATGGATTACTTGTAGCCTTTTAACGATACATCTAGAAAGAACGAAGACTAGGAAGTCGTTTCGCGTTCGATTTCTCATCGCGCTCGACTCTCCGGGTTATTTCGCGGCGAAACCACATTCCGTTCGCTACATCGCGTTCGCTTCACGACGCGCCGACCTTCGCGGAGAAACAGACACGCGGAAAATGTTCCTCGGTCGGTGCCGCTATTAAGTAAGGTATTCTCGATATTCGCGAATAATAATGCATCGTTGCTACAACGAGTTAACCCGCGTTCCACGAAGATTGCACGATGCACATTCCGCTCGCAGCGTCGGCCGCGACCGCGGGTATTCAAAGTGCAGCGAATGAGAATAATAACGCGATGATTTATTACTACGTTCCGAGACAGCGAGTCCTCTTTGAGTAAGAAAATTGAACATGATAGACGCGGTAAAGTTGTAAAGCTGGTGGAACGATGAATATGCAGTTATTTGCGCGAATTATTAGAGAAACGTTTAATTATTTCTAAATTATCGCCGCTTGAAGTCCCATTCGGAATTCCGTTTGAAATTTATCTATTCTGATAACTACAGTGGAAAGACGAAAATAAAATTTGCTTTTTTTGTATATCCTTTTTTTTGTCATAATTTTTCACTTCTCCGTTTTCTCTCCGCATTTTTGTTCAATAATATGAATATTAATGTCTTGTCCGAAATTAATTACTGTGAAATACGCGCGATATTCGTGAATTGCCAATTACCATAAAGGGTTTTACGATCGACAGAGTAGCGAGTACTGGTGATTGTCGATATTGACCAACGGTTGACTGGCAGACAGTAAGCCGGTAATTCTACAAGACGCAATAGCACTATCGTGATAAACGCAACGCGATGATTAAGCGCGTACTTTCGCCGCGCATCGAGGAACAATGAAGCTTGACGAAGAAGCGCCTTGACCTAAACCGTCCTCCCTTCGAAGAGATCGAGAAAATCCGATCGAGGAATTCATTAGGGTCTGAGTCGAAGTTTAAAATCTAATTTATCTTACATCTATTAATTTGTGCCAGATATTATCCTTATAACCTTATAAAATATTTCAATTTTTCAAATTTTGTTTGTAATGTTTGTTATATAAAATATTGTTTGTTATATAAAATATTGTTTTGTAATACATAACTATTAATTTTTAAGTTCCAACATGGAAAAAACAGCAGAAAGTAAAGATATTTCGAGATTCTCTATCCTTCAAATTTGTTGGAATTTGTAAAATGAATTATATTAGATGTATATAAAAAAATTGTTCGTTTCTTTCGCAAGTCTTCGCTTTATTTTCATATGGTCAAAAGATTAAAACTTTTGTACACATTTGATACAATAAAAATTTCGGCTCGAACGATCACATGCTTCGATACAAAGATGTTATATTTTTCCAGAAAACTTAAAACAATTAAAGATCGTCAAAATATAAATTTTGTAAATTTTCCAAATATAGTGAGAATGTTAAAGATTGTTTCTATAAATATATATTTCTTAAGAATTTCAGAATTTGTTGATTAATGCAAATTTCGTAAAAAATGATTAAGAAGTTAAAAATCTTATCAGTCGGAAAACATTCCATCCAAGGACGAAGAATGTTGTGTGATGCGAGAAGTTTTCGATCGGTTAAAATCATCTACATCGTAAACCGCGTTACACGCATACGCAAAAAACGTCGCAGCGAGATTAAACGGGTTTTATCGCTGGACATTAAATTTCCCCAGTGTCATAGCGGATTAATGGAACAGTTATACAAGTTAATTGCGTTAGCGTGGAATAAAAAAAGTTTCTAGAGAAAGCGAAGACTTTGATATACGACTGGTGATAAATTATTACGCATTTTTCCTTCCCTTCGCGCAAGTGTTCTTACTTCTCGTTGAGTGAAACGTCGCGAATGATCCTCGAGATATCGCGAAACATTTCCGGACATTTCGCTAACAAAATATGAATCCTTCAACTTACTTTTATAAATTTATCTTTTCAGCTTTTTAGTCAACATCGCTATCATATCTAACAAAAAAATACAATTAAAAACATTTGTCACTTCGTACACCAAATCATCATGTCAGAGTTGTAATAGCCAATAGTTTTCATCTTTAGCGATTCTCAGCGTTCCGAAGATGTGGCAAAAATTGCGAGTTTTAGAGGACGACGCCTTTTTCGGAGGCAATCAGACATACGTCGAGCGATTTACTCGTTATTCTCGACTCCGAAGGTCGTGTGCTCGTTCCACTCACAGTCGCGCAGTTGCAACAATTGCAAAACGTACGATATTTATCGTAATGAGAAAAAAGCGGAGTCTTTCCCTGTCGTGGAAGTACCCGTTTATCCCGCTTCTCATGGGTATCCGTTTTCCAGCCTCGTAATGTCGTCTCTCCTTATAGAATGCGCGTTTTTCCCTGCGTTATACGTACGCACGTCGACAGATCTAACGAAGCCGATCGATTCGTTGCGCAATTGATCGTTACTAACAGGTGCCACCGGCGAATTCCTCTCTCGTCGCGGAAAAGAGAAAAAGAAGCGAGCACGAGTCGCGTGACCTTTAATGTTTGTCTCTATGTCATCCATCCTTTCGCGAATTTGCGAAAACTGAGCCGATTGCCGTGAAAATATTTTCACAAATCACGAAAAAGTATATCTGTAATGTAGTTTCGATAATCTCGTCGCACTGAATAGAATTTAAATTGCGATATGTTGCTTCTTATGTTAGAAGCAAAATGTACTTTGCATAAAATTATATACTTCTGTGCTCTCACGATTAATTTAAATATTTTCGTGATCATAACAGCCCATGATATGCTTTTTATTTATTTTTATTGATATTGAGAAACGCACACATTTAATTGCAAACACACATGACATAAATATAGACTTAGAAGTCTAGATTTTTATTTTTTTACCGAACGAATATAAAAAAGTGACATTGGAAACT